CTATTACTGATGGACAAAATCAAGTTCCAGCCTAGATTTTTTTTTTCTCATTCAAGAGGCTGTTTCACTCGGATCTAGTACTCTGTCACAATAGAGATGAAAAGATGATCGCAATTTCATACAGACTTTAATGCCTGATTGGAATAATCTCAAAAAGCCAGATAGCACCCAATTAAACATCTTAGTCATTATATTGGTTGCCCACTAATGCTGCTTGCACCAATTGTAAGAACTAAATTAAGTTCTCATTAGGTGAAAGCTGGCTTCAGGAAGAAAGCGAAACAAAAGTCTAATTTTAAAGCAGTGTGTGTCATGTAGTGAATGTGATCTGTGGGTGTTGGTTTGTCAGGAGAGGATGATGGTCGGGAGCTGGAAAAACTGGAGGAGGTGGTGTGGGATCCCAGCAACCCCCTCACCGAGAAACAGATCGACCAGTTCCTCGTCGTGGCTCGGTAAGATTCTGCAGCGGGAGCAAATTTGCTCTGTTTTTCGTGTGGCAGTATGTTGTGAACATATCACTGAGTTTAAAAGACAATAAACAACAAAAACCTCAACTATGAAATTCTGAAGATGCCTCTGAAATATTATATATATATATTTTTGTACCACTCTATACCCTGTTATTTCAAACTGCATATTTTGCTCGCTCTCACTCACTCATTCTCTTTCACATTTTTTTCCCTCTCTTTCTCAAACTTCCCCAACCCCCCTCCCCTGCAGGTCTGTGGGTACATTTGCGCGGGCTCTAGACTGCAGCAGTTCAGTTCGGCAGCCCAGTCTGCACATGAGTGCTGCGGCAGCCTCCAGAGACATCACACTGGTACGGCACATCTCACACTCTCGCACACTCTACACGCTTCTGGAAGGCTTCACACTGTAGTTAAGCTCAGCAGGTTCATACTAATTAATGGCAGACATATGCAAAAAAAACTCAAACCTTTTTGGATCATTTGTCCAATTCTGAAACTGGTTGTTACTGATTTTTTTTCTTTATAGTGAAATAAATAACAAATGTTGTATTATAGCCAGATAATATTCATTACATTATGACATTTAATCCTGTCAGAAAAGGCATAATAAATATCTTTTCTCATCTTATTCTAAAATGTTGAATACAGCCTAGCTAATACGATACATAATCCTGAACATCCGTGATGCTTTTTCATCATATTATTTTCATCATTTTTATATACTCCTCTTTTCTGATCTCATCTTAGCTTTGTCATTTCGTGTTATTTAGCTTTTGTCTGATAACCTGTACAGATAAACTAGAATATCACACACTAAAAACTTTGAGCAGAAAATGCCAAAAAAAAATAAAA